AACGGAGGAAAGCCCATGTCATCAGTTGAATCTCTTGATTTTTCTGTCATACGTGGAGAGGATGTGAATGTTGGTGTAAAGGATATCGATGGCTGGAAGCTGGAGAGTGGTCACCCAATGGTATTTTGCAGACATTTTTTGAGCACCGTGCGACGATAGTGCAAGTTTTCAAGGAAAAGTGAAACTTATAGCTTTTATTAAGATTTTAAGTATGTTGAGCCTGATGATGAACTTTCTTTGTAGCCCCCAGAAAGTGTTAGTATCCCTGGGTGATTTTAAAAATATTTGCATCTTGTTCTCCTTTATCTAGAAAATCAGCTATGCATCTCTGAAGAACTCTTTCAGTTCTACTCCCGGATGCAATCTGGTATTTAGCCCAACATCCAACAAAAAGAAAAGCGGCTTCTTCGCCACTATTGTTTTGACTCAGGCATCCTATCCAACTTTAATTTATGCAAGCACTGCTATAGAGGGGGTACATTCAGAGGTACGTTTTATAGCACAAAATGATTTTGATTTAAATGTGTTCATTTGTAGGAGACACAGTGGCCTCGTTTTAGTCTATTTTGATTTGGATCTAGTCATTTGTTTTTTAAGTTTTTTTCCTGGTTCGGGTCATATTTGTGTTTAGAACCAGAAACTAATCATTTGAACGTAAAGGTGTAAATGGGTCGATGAAAACTGTCAAGTTTAATCGATAACACCAATGAGAGTTTACCAGCAGTGTAGTTATTGTCATCAGTACGCTTTCCTGATCTTTCCGATCGAGAGGTATGACGAGAAAAAGAGTTTTGATTCTTTATTTGTTGCAATGTAGGATCCAATCCAGAAAAAAAACCAGAGCTTTTTTCTAAATGCTGTAAATGGTGAGTTCTTTCTTCTTGTTGAGGGTTTTGTTAGCCTTCTAATGGATGAAGGTCAATTTTCCGGGATTAAATCGTAAAAGTCTTTGCTGAGTTGACCATGTTGTAACTATTACTTTTTTCCTTCAGAGGGAGAACAAGTCACAAATGTGGCAGATCTCACTGATACGAAAAGTGGAAAGGGAAAAGAACAAAACTCCGGAGACTGCATCATTCAGCTGCAAGCTTGATACTCGACCAGACGACGGGTTCCGAAACGTGGACTCCTGCCTTCATAAACCGGGGAGGCATTACATTGGGTACACGCCCTTTTGTTTTGATTCAATCGTCTGAACAAGACTAAGAACCAAGATATAGTGTAGATGACATATTTTTCACAAGTTTTTTAAAAAGGGTAAACGTAAAGTTTAAAGATTATAAGATATGTTAGCGAATCTTTAGATCTGAAATTCCCTCATCTCCTGACAAGAAACTAATTGAAATGATTCATTCATTAGTAATTAATGCCTTTGAAAGCATAACGGATATTGTTTTTTTGTTGTTGTTGTTTTTTTTTTGGTACTGAATGAAGGATATCAGAGATTATACAGCTTAAGCTGGTAACTTTCAGGCATTATGTACAAAGTACTATGCTCACTTTTATTAGTGATGTGTATATTTACAGAGAAGTGTTTCCTGTGGGAAACTAGTGTGATGTAGTAATGTGCCCATAGTGAACCAACAGTAATAAAAAGTGTTCAGTCACTTATTTGTTTTCTGTCTTTTCATGTAACTGCAGACGTTTTAGAACCAAACGTTTTGCAGCCTCTTGATTTTCCCGTGATTGCTGTAAGACACATATAAAAATGTCTAAAATATTCCCTTTTCTGGGTATCATCATAAGCAATTGATCAATGCCTTCTGATGGACGAGGAAAACTTCTCAGAAATGCTTTATCATCAGCACTCAAGATGTTGCATTGATAAAGATAGCCAGATAATGATGTTAAGTCCCCAATATTCTCAATGAGATCCACATGACAGCTTTGAAGGGCGTCTCTATCCAATTTTGGCATGCCTGTCACTGTCCAATGAGAAATATAAGGAGAAAGACCTTGACATTTCATCATATTAATATACCTTTCCCCTGGCTTCTCAGTACTTATTTAAGGCAAGTTAAACCATTAGTACCTCTTTTGTCTTGTAGCTAAATTCTAGGTGAGGCAAGTGTCTATGGCTTCCCATCGGGGCCAGAATTCAACATTGCGATTTGACATTGTACTTTTAGTATTCTTCCTTATTTCGCGATGGGACATTCAAGTTTTTATTCCTTATGAAACTTTTTCCGATTCAACATTGTCTTTTTTACAATTAAACTTCCAAGTTTCAAGTATTAAACATTGTACTTCTCGTAATTCCACTTTGTAGTTGTGGCAATGCAATATTTTTGTACTTATGGTATTGATATATTCAACATGCAGTACTTCGCGCTATTCAACATTCAACTTTCCATCATCCAACCGCAACCCAGCTATTAACGAAGGAGCGCAGGCTCACTAAGGTCAAGTACCTCATGTAAGCGACAGAGNTCGTCCGCGATATGCGTATTGGGAGAAGCCGCTGAAACAATATGGCGCCAGGTAAATATGGCGATCGTAAATCGTCGCTTCGTTTTACTACAATTAACCACGGGAGCTTTAAGTTTTCTTTTAAAAAAGCCCTTTTACCTTTGAATTGCAAATACCGAGGGGACAAAAAAGGTGAGTCGCCTGCTGGCGACCAGTTGTAAAATTCTGGTCGCCAACACCTAATTTTTGGCCGCTTTGGCGACCAGTCAGTCGCAATTTCAGACCCTGGCACTATGTACAAAGTTGGAGTGCTCACTTTTATATGTGGTGTGTATAACTACAGAGAAATGTTTCCTGTGGAAAACTAGTGTGATGTAGCAATGTGCCCATAGTGAAGCAACAGTAATAAAAAGTGCTCAGTCACTCATTTACTTATTTGTTCTCTGTCTTTTCATGCAACTGCAGACGTTTTAGAACTAAACGTTTTGCAGCCTCTTGATTTTCTCGTGATTGCTGTAAGACACGTATAAAAATGTCCAAAATATTCCCTTTTCTGGGTATCATCATAAGCAATTGATCGATGCCTTCTGATGGACGAGGAAAACTACTCAGAAATGCTTTATCATCAGCAGTCAAGATGTTGCACTGATAAAGATAGGCACATAAAGATGTAAAGTCCCCAATATTCTCAATGAGATCCACATGACAGCTCTGAAGGGCGTCTCGATCCAATTTTGGCATGCCTGTCACTGTCAAACGAGAAATAAAAGGACAGAGACCTTGACATTCCCTCATAATGATGTACCTTTCCCCTGACTTCTCAGTACTTAATAATTATGGCAAGTTAAACCATTAGTACCTCTTTTGTCTTGTAGCTAAAATCTAGGCGAGGTGGGTGTCATCCAAATTTATCAAACAAAATCTCTCAAAGTACAATAGCTGCCCATCCTGGCTATTAATTTATTGGATCATATTTATCGATATGAGAACATCATTTTATTCCGTTAATTATCGCTGTTGCTTGAAGCATGATATATTTCACGTTTCAAGAGAGCTTTCTTTCGATGTTTTGATTTCCAGACTGATATCGAGATCAAGAAAAGTACGTTCACTAATTTACACGAAAATTCGTTTGAACTGAACATTTAAAAAGAAATTTTAAGTTTTGTACCTGAGTAGTTTAGACCATCAAGGACATCGGTTGGTGTATGATGAACCTAAGAATACAGAAAATCATAATTATATTGATTAGCACTTTCTGTGTGTAACACAGAATACTGGGAGACTAGATGTTAGCTGGCCGTTGATAAGGAAGTACCTTTTCTGGATTGTCATAATCCAGCAGTAATCTGCCAGTAGTTAGCGCTTTAGCTTGTTACTGCAGAGGAGGAGTAGCTTTCTTTAAAACACTTTATAAATACGTTTTGTCGACTAAAAATCATTCGATCCTTTATGTTTGAGTTGGTCGCAGTTGTTTGTTTAGTTTGTCAGATATAACTACAAACAGTTTACTATCTGAAGAAGCAACCCCTT